AAAAATTCTGCTGGAAGCTTTTTGGTGTGTTTGAAACCCTAGCTCAGGAATCTGATGTGCTGTGCACACTGAGAATGGGGGAGACACCATTTACAGTGAGCTGTGACCTCCTTGGTGGCTTAGAATGGCTTTTGTCAGTCTGCTCCCGATGAAACAATCCCCTCTTCCAAACTTTCTCCTCGTTCTCCTCTGGTTTTTCCCCCTTGTCCCGTTTTTGCTGCCCTCCCAATCCCAAGAGCAGCATTGGGAGTTGTGTACCTCGCTGTGCTGACTGAGCTGTCCTGGCTGAGCACCCCTCAGTCCTGGCTCTCCTGGGAAAAGCTGGCTCTGCTGCTTTAGGGCTCATTACACCCTCCAAATCCTCCTCTGTGCTTCTGTGGCTTCTTAGGTTTCCCTCTGAGCAGATGATTGCTCCCGACCCTGAATCCTACTCCCATTTAGGGTCAGGCAGTTTTCAAACTTGCCACCTTCCCTTTCAGCCTGTATTTTCTTCTAAAATCAAGAATTTAGTCTTGTATCCCCTTTAAACCAGTATTATCTGCAACTGTGTAACTTGATAGCTATTTCAGCATTCAAGGAAATGTCCCGAGACCAGGCCTTGAAGGAATCAGGATTATGGAGATGCCTTGCATTTTAGAAGAGAACCACAGACAGTTGTATCCAGCTTATATTAATTGATCTGTTCTCCTTATGGGAATGCCAAATGCAATGCTGCCAAAAGCTTCCTCTCTGCTGGAATCTAAGCTTAGAACTCTCTTTGCTTTCCCTCTAAGAACACTTTTGGCATTAGCACTGAAGAAATCTGATTGCTGTGATTTAAACTGAATTTAATTCTGACAAAACTATGCTGCCTCTTATTGATCACCTGTCAGAGGTTAATTATCTTGGAGCTGCTCAAAAATAATTTAGGCCAGTAATTTTTCTCCTGCTCAGCCATTCCCTCCTTTTTTGTCAATCACTAGACTAGCAATGTTGACTGGCTCCCCATCAGCCTAGTTAAGATTTCAAAGACACTTCCTGATGGATCGGGGATTGCTTCACCACTTGAAGAGATCCTCTGTGATTAAAGCCATTGGGTCCAATGAATTTGAAATCATTCAACAGCTGCATGTTTTCTCCCCCAGTGACAGTGGGCAGGTGGCCCCTTTTGCAGGGGAGCCTGTAGACGTTTGTCTCTCTCTCTGAAGCAAAGATCTCCATGCAAAGAAGGAAAGGCAGTCCTGCCTTTCTCTCTTCCCCCATGGAACCCTCCAGGCCACAGCCTCCAAAGAACCCAGCTCAGCAGGAAAATCAGCATCATCTTTAAACACCCCTCCAATGTAATCAGAGGGCTCCACGTGCTCCAGCCAAGGCATCACTGAGGATTTTTTCCAACTGGAACCAAATCAGTTTCTGTATTTGCCTTCAAAACAGGCCTGTTTACACAGCAACATTCAGCTGAGATACCAGAACTGAGTATGGAAGAAAACCTGTCCAGCAGATGCTTTGAGAAATTCAAATAATCAAATGATTGATTGCTTCCAAAAAACTCTTATGGCCAGAAAACCCCAGTATATTGCTTTGCTGGGAAGGCCCTGACGAGGGAGGAGTCCATTGATATCAGAAGGCTAATTATTTACTTTATTATACTGTATTATTCTATACTATATTACATCTAAACTGAATCTGCCAAGCACTCAGCTGTGCACACAACTGCACAATATCTCGTGACTCTCTGCTGACAGTCCAGACTCACACACACACCTGGCCCTGGCAGGCCAAGGAAACAAAGCACCATCAATTTGGGTAAACAATCTCCATATTGCATTCTACTTTTGTACAAACACAGCACAGTAAATAAGATGAGAATTCTTTCTCTGAGTTTCCTCACTGCAATTCCCAGAAAATATCCTTGGGAAGTTGTGCCTTGCTTTTCTCTGTGAAGAGAAATGCGGCAACACCAGAATATTAAAAAAATGAATAAAAAAAAGGAAGGAGGCAGCAGCAGAGCCTCTGCAAGCACCTGCAGAAACACATCCCTGACACTGCACCCATCAGTGAAGTGATGCTGGATAACAGGAGAGGGAGGAAACAGCCTGATCAACCTCTCCCAACTTTGACTAAGCTGTAGACTGGTGTGAGCCCAGCCTTCAATGCCCCCCAGGAGTCTGTGTGCTGCTGCAAGGGCTTTCCCAGCTGGCACGGGGCATGGAGGGTGCAACCTCAGTCCTGGGAGCTGCAGGGCAGACCCAGCTCCAGGCAGGAGCCTCTGCCTAACAGATTGCTCCTTGGCTGGAAGTGACACTCGGGCTGGGCAGGGCTTTATCTCCTGTCACTTGTGCTTCACAGCACAGCCCTGGGAAGCTGAGAAGCCTCAGAGAAAAAGGAAAACAATAATTATCTGATTTGCTGCTCCTGTGTTTTGCTGCTTTGGAATGTGGTTTGGAGATTGTTTATCCAACAGGTGGTTGTTTGATTGGTTTCATGTGAACTGGTTTTACTTAATGGCCAATCACCGTCCAGCTGTGCCTGGAAGGAGTCACAAGTTTTGATTATCATTCTTTCTAGCCTTCTGTCTGTATCCTTTCTTTATTCTTTAGTACAGTTTAGTATAGCATTCTTTAATATTATAAAATAATAAATTAGCTTTCAAAGATCATGGAGTCAGATTCATCATTTCTCCTTCATCCTGAGGACCCTGAAAAGACCACACTGGGACAAATTGCCTCCCTCACACATGCAGCAAGATCAGGAGTGGGAAGCAGTTTCACAGCATTGTCATACAGAGCACGTCACCTTGGAGAACACTTTGTATGCAACGACATCACAGCCCATAAAACAAATCAGGGATTCCCAGCACCAAGAAAAAACGTATCCCTAATCCAACATTTACCTCAATAAAGGATAACACTGGCTCTACACACCTGCAAAGTCAATGTGCCATAAATCACTACCAGAGCTTTCCCTTTTCAAAGAGAAAGAATATTTTTTCTGTGAATTAACTTCAGAGGAATGAAGGCTTAATGGGTGAATCATCGTTATCTGTTAACTTCAAATAATTTCAGGTATGTCTGGGATCCTTGAATATCTACAGTAAGGTAAAATTTGACAGCACATTCTGTACAGAGTCACCTAATATTGACAGAAGGTTTGAAATACTTATGTTTGAGTAAAAAAGGTGAGAAGGTTGGGTGAATTATCTGAACTAAGATGTAATGCTCAGCCTCGTTGCAGGTTTTGAAGTTCTCTGCATGCAGAGAACACACTTCCCCACAGCCTCTTGCTCAGCTGAAATAACTGGAAGAAACTTAAACCAATTACCAGAGGTGAGCTTGGATCTCTGCTCCAGGAATAACATCCTGCTGCTTTTACTGCTTGTACATTGCTTTTCGCTTCCAGTGGCACTGGGGCAAGATGTGCTGGGCTCCCTCTTTGGATGAGAGGCTGACAAAGCCACAGGGAAACCTGCACTTTTGTAATTCCGTGGGCTGGAGTTTAAAGCTTTCCCAAATAGCAGCAGTGGCCTTCTATTCCAGGCAGTTTAACAGCAAATTCCACAAAGCAGTCTCCAGCATGGGAAAATTCAGTCTATAAATGACTATAAAATACCCCCTGCTTCCTGCATGGCAAATTAATAGAGATGTGTGATTTGAAAAGAAAAATTCACAGCCAAGTTTGTCCCCAGTGTTACGAAACCTGTCACAGCACTGGCAGAAACTGCCTGGTTCCCAGCTTTTAGTTCAGCACATCCCCTGCACCACCAAACCTGAGATATGCACACCAGAGGATGAAAATACCAGGACAAACCATCCAATCTCTGCTCTGGAGGGAAAGCACCCTCATGACCAAACAGTACTAAGGGTAACTTTCCTTCTACTGTAGCTTCCAGAGCACAGCACAGAGAGGAAAAAGAACAAAACGCTTCAGCATTGCACAGCTCCAATTAATGCCATTTGGAGTATGACAACAATTTATTCTTGCCAAAATTATAAAGCATTAAAGCTGTATATCAGTCAGGCCAGTTTCAGCACTAAAGCCTTGCCTTGGGCAGCTTTCTTAAGCAAAGAGAGGGAAAAGCTGCTCTTCCCCTGTTTTTTACAGAGAGTGAAATGAAACGAGAAGTAGGAGCTGGAGAAAAATTACACATTTTCACATTGTTCAGGTGTGCTGCAGATGAAAAGGGCTGTGCAGAATTGGTCCATGCCCCCAAATGTCCAAAGTCACAGGTAAGAACTAGACATACAATGAGGCAGAGAATGCATTACGAAAACTGGTCTGTAATACAAGAATAAATGTGCCACCCAAAATATTTCAGATTGAACAGATTGAACCTGCCATTTCATAATGACAAAGAATAAAATCAAATGCAGCAAAGGAACTTTAAAAAGGCAAGTCTGCTGAGGACCCAAAGGCTGAAGGCAAGGACTGCCCAGAGAGCCCTCACAACTGGCAGTAAATGTTGAGTACAACCAAAATCCCCTGTGTTTGGGGGTGAATTCTTGGCTCCAAGCTGATGATTCAGCCTCCTCCTGGTGGAGGAAAAGGTGCATTTAGAGGAAACAAGATCACACAAATCAAAATACATTTCTTGACTCAGTAGGTTGAGCACCTTGACACAGGCACCTTGCACTGTCCCAGAGCATCCCAGCTGCCAAAACCAAGGGTATGGGGAGAGTCCCTGCTGGAAGATTTTTCCCTGTGTGGATGCCCAGTGTTTGCATAGTGAAAGTCTCCTTCCTCCCTCTGGACAGCAATGATCTCTGCATTTGAGTGTCTGTTTGAACATTCCCTCCTTTGACACACAGTCATTTCCAGTGTGGTCACAGTAACACCATCAGAGGACATTTAACAGAATTTAACATGTGCAGAGCTGCATGGATCTGTTTAGTAATTTATGACAACCACATATCACAAGTGATGATCTCTTACCTCATTCTGCTGCCATGTTCTTTCAGAACACAATACCCTCACTTGTCCCTGTGTTTTCTTGTGGGAGTATCCATCACAGGCAACACTTTCACCAGGCATTTGTCAAGTTACCTGACCTGAAAGAAAATATTTCTATGAGCTGCCATGGTCATAATGCCTGAGAACCTCAGAAAAAACTAAGAAACAGTCTCTGCAGTGTAGTCTTCATGTACAGGTAGAAATTTCAGTTACAGGGAGCTTAAAGGTGGATTGAATTCACTGAACACTACCAGGTAAGGTTTAGACATCTACCCCAAGACAATCACTAAATCTCCTGCAAAAGCTAATGAAGGGAATCTACTTCTGGAGGTCACTTACATCCCAAGATTCCTAACTGAGGCAGAATGCACTACCTGCTGAAGCTCAGTCAGACTTTCCTCTGAGGAAATTTCAGAAGACCCAAATGGAAGTTTAGGCTTCATGCCTTATTTCTGCATGGTTAGACTCCAATCCCCTTCTATTGCAGGATATCCAAGCAGATTTTCCGTGTCTGACAGACAGGATCATTTTTCTTCCTCCAGAAAAGGGTTCAGATGTGTGGAGGGTACAGCAAAAAGAGGGACACAATCCAGTTTGTGAAACTTTCCATTAAAGCCCTTTTGGTGAAAAATCGTAGACTAGAAAGAAAATTGTAGCCAAGAAAGAAAATTGTAAGCTGCAGCATGACTTGCAGCTTTAAAGAATTCCCCTTTTTCCTCTGGATAAATGAGTGACTTGGCCAGTGAGCAAACATGCAGATGTCAGCCTGGCCATCACCAGCCCTTCCCTGGGGTGTCAGCAGCAGGCAGGATGCTGAATGCTGACATTGCCTACCTGTGACAACTCCAGCAATGAGATGTCAGCTGGGGAGGGAGACTCCATACACATCTGCTCATCCACGCTGCCCAACAATGGGAAGCACTGGAAATAGGAATGGAAAAATGGAGAGCACAGCACAAACCTGTTTGGGATTACCCAGGACCCATCAGACCCACCAGACTAGGCACCAGGGCCAGTACAAAGGAACACAAAGCACAGGAAAGCTCCTGCACAGGTATTTAAAATCTAGTTAGAGCTTTTTCTGACATATTCCATTTTGGCAGCAAAGCATCATCTTCAGCTGCACTTTGCTGATGAGTAAAGTGTACTATTAAAAAGTTTAGCAGTTATTTTCTTCCCACTAAACAGATTCCGCCTTGTCCCTCTTTGCTCCCTTAATTACTTTTGTTCATGATAGTTCTTCAGTGTTGGAATACTCCAAATTTGCATACTAAATTTTATTTCACTCCTTTTTCTAGAAACTTTATTGTCCTTATTAATCCCACACAACAATGAAACTATGACATACCTCAGCCTTTCAAAAGGGAAAAATCTAACTCACTTGTGTACCTAAAAGCTTGGACTTAGAGGGTCCTCAGTGTAAGGCAAGAACAGTTGTTAAATACCATAGAATTCTGGAATGGTTTGGGTTGGAAGAGATCTTAAATCCCATCCAATCCCATCCCTGCCATGACAGGGACACCTTCCACTGTCCCAGGCTGCTCCAAGCCCCAATGTCCAACCTGGCCTTGGGCACTGCCAGGGATCCAGGGGCAGCCACAGCTGCTCTGGGCACCCTGTGCCAGGGCCTGCCCACCCTGCCAGGGAACAATTCCTAATTCCCAATATCCCATCCATTCCTGCCCTCTGGCACTGGGAAGACAATATTTTTTTCCTAAACGATAGGCTGAACCTAACTAGAAAAAGTATAGTTTGGACAACATTTTTGGAGTAAGGTATTCGTCTATTTATTTGTCCATCTCAAGGTGATGTGGGGGGTTTGAATCATGTGCTAGCAGCAACTATTCTGAATAAGACAATGTTTTCCCTCCAATCATCTCATTTGCACACTTTCCCATTGCCTTTTCCTCTAGTCCAGGCTGCAGCCTGAGCTGGCACAAGTTTCAGACAAATCTTCAGAGGCTCTAACCCATTTTGGCAGCACAAGTGACAGTTTTATGGCAGTCCCCAAGGAAGGCCCATCTCCTGCTCTCCAGAGAACCTCTCCTAAAACTTTTGGCTTCCTCCCTCCAACATAACACAGGTGCTGAAGAGGGACAGAGGAAGAGGGATCAGACACAGGGTAAAGTCCTACTTTTTTGTGGACTTGAGGGGTTACCTGGAATGTGAGGGTTGCACTGCAGGCAGTAAATAATTCCAGTAATTTCAGCAGCTGTTTCAGATTTCTTTCTCTCATACAGAAATGTGGAGCAGAAAAGAAAGGTGTCTGAAAAACAGATGAGGAGGGTTATGCAATGCCCAATGACAACTCTAAAGGAAGACTGTCTTCACACTTTCTGTGGTATGGAGCCATATAAGCGTGACTCAGGTCATTTAATCTGGCTTTTGTAGCAGTCCACAATAAATTGATTGGTAAATAGATGAGGTTGTGTTAAATATATGCACTGGAAAATTAGGACCTTCATTTTCTAAAGTGCATATATTTCTTAACATTCTCAAAACTAAGTCTTCCATTTTTAATGGAAGGGCATTTTCAATGCTCCCTCCTCCCTTGCAGATTGAATTTTTTATCAGCTAACATGTATTTGAGTGGAATTGGTGTGCTGCTCATGAAGAAAATCTAACCTGAAATAGCTTTTCAGAGAGCTTAAGCAGTATCTTGGAATTGATTGATTTGAATACACAATTCACAAACCCTTAGATTGCCTTTTTAATATCTCCCATCGACCCTGCACAAGCTACAAACATCTCCAGACATTCTGGAATTTTCTTATACCCCAATGGCAAAGCACATGCTCCACAAAGAAAAAATCCATGCCAGCATTCCAACTTTTACTCCATATACTTTGGAACATCAGGTCAAGAGGGGAAAAGAAAATCAGGATTCAGAACACTCTTATTAAAAGGCCAGGTCTGTGCTTTTGCCTGAGCTATGCTGAAAGCCAGACTCTAGAGAAGAATCAAGAATCCACAGAAATTACTCAGTCCCTGTGACCGGTATTAAAAGGAAATCTTCATTGTATCAGAAAATTTCAGTTGTTTTAACAGAACACTTGGAACGAGCCAATATTTGAAGAATCCATACCAAAGCTGTGTAGGGTTTTACAACCCAAGGACGTGTTAAAGACAGCCTGGAATGATTAGGGAACTAATATGTTCTGTGGCCTTTAGTGTAGGCCAGGAATAAAGAATTAATCTCCTTCTGGGGTGGCTGCTGGGATATGAGTCACTTTTACATTTGCTGCTTAGATAGATTCCCCAATGATGTCTGCAACACACCTACATTACACCCCACACAGAAGGTAAACAATTTATTCTTCATCGCTGCCTGTCACTGCTGCAATCACAACAGGATAGAGCTCCATTTCCTAAATGGAAGAGGTGACAGAAGGAATGCAATAATGCAAATTGATAATGTAAATTTTTAGGGTGACTTTGGAATACTGGTGGCTTTGCAAACCCAGAAAATACAAAATAAAATCCCTAGAAAATACACAAACCCAATAAATACTATATGAACAGTATTTACCAAAACCAGGACCTCACACATGCTGGGTTTTGTCTCTTGTTTTCTTGTATAAATCTGTAGGAAACAACTGAGTCAAACTCTCTACAATACTCCAAGCACCTTGGTATAAAAACCAAAGATAAAGCAATAAAAAAAGAGCAGGGCTTTCTGTGAAAAGTTTGTGCACCTAACTGGAGAAGGATGAAATACTGACAGCAATTAAATCCAGTGCTCTAAATGCAGCATCAGAACCTCCACAGTTCTGCTGGCCAGAAACTGGAAATAAGCACTCGAGAGGGATCACTTCATGCTGACCCCACCTCTCACACTCTATTTGAGGCTCTTCTGAGGACACAGTTAAAGCAAATACCCCCAGCCCTACATGGCTTGGAGGAAAGGAAAACTCCATTAGCTCTTGTCCTCTCTCTTCTGTGTATTTTATATTCATTTTAAAATTACAAAGGAAAAAACCATCCAAGAGTAGGTGATGTGAATTAAACCCCATCACGTTACAATTTAACAAGTCTAATTCTTTTTCAGGTCAATCTAGGCACATTCTGGTGTGGTATTTTTGGGGTCCCCTGAAAAGGGAGGAATTATGAACCTGACTCCATGTTCTCAGAAGGCTAATTTATTATTTTATTATATTATATTCAACTATACTAAAACTATACTATACTAAAGAATAGAGAAAGGATACAGACAGAAAGGCTAAAAGATAATAATGAAAAACTCGTGACTCTCCTCAGAGAGTCCAACACAGCTGGACATAATTGGCCAATAAGTAAAAACAATTCACATGCAACCAATGAAGCCATCACCTACCACATTCCAAAGCAGCAAAACACAGGAGAAGCAAACGAGATAATATTATTTTCCTTTTTCTCTGAGGCTTCTCAGCTTCCCAGGAGAGAAATCCTGGGCAAGGGAGTTTTCCAGAAAATATGACAGTGACAGTCTGGGACATATTTTAGAGCAGGATTGGTTACACCAAGGTTGTGGGTTCACTCCCTGCAAGGGTCATTCATTTAAGAGCTGGACTTGATGATCTTGTGGGTGCTTCCAACACAGTATATTCTGTGATTCCACCACATCCCAATTTTCCAGGAGTGTTTTGTCTGAGACATTATAATTAAGCTAATCAGAATACATGGCACACCCCAGATAATAAGAAAACTTAGTCCTACACAGCAACCACAACTTTTCCAAGCATTTGCAAGCTCTTTCCACGAGCTCTTTTTGATGATGGCACAGTGCATGAGGAAACTGCATATTCTTTTGTGCCCCGCCTGGTGAGCACGTTTCCCCCACAGATAATGCGCTGTGTTGGCTTTGGGGGATTTTTCAGAGGCAAGACAAACTTGTGTTCTTTCACAGGCCCCAACAGAGCTCCATCCTGCAGTGTGAGCAGGCCAACAATGAATCACCTGCAGGAGGACAAGACAAACCACTGAAGCACACGTTCCAGGTAGCTGAACTATAGAACAATTTCTATTCATTAATTTGGTTATTTCTGGAAGAAATTAACCACATAAGCAGCAGGTGCATATGCTAATAGAATGACTTCATGATTTAATTAAGCCATATTTCCCTACAGAGTAATTACATATGTTGTTTACTCAACTTTTTTAAAGGCCATAAAAAAAAAATGCAATCACATTCATTCCTGGCTAAAAATAAAAGATCTCAAGAGCTTCAAACATACAAAAAATATTAGTGAACAGATTTAGTAGATCCTGCACATACCCAATGAACACTTGCTATGTACAATGCCATATAGGAGCTTCTCTAACAGATGGTGTTATCCCAACTCCCATCTAAACCTGTCTGGTCTGATCCCACCCAGTGTGATGTGTGAGGAGATATTTTACATTGGCTGCCTTGGCTGTGAGAAAACTAGGAGTTCTGAGGTTTAGATTAGATGTTAGGAAAAATCTCTTCATGGAAATGGTTGTAAAGTAATGGAACAGGATGCCCAGGGCAGTGGTGGGAGTGTTCAACCATCCCACCACTGGGATGTTGGAATTGTTCAAAAAATGAGTGGATGAGACACATGAGGACATGGTTTAGTGGTGAACAGGGTGGTGCTGGGCTGATGTTTGGACTGGATGACACTAAAGGTCTTTTCCAGCCTTAACATTTCTGTGATTCTGGTCTAACCCAGCAGATATTGCAAAGCAGCATCTGAAATAGAGACTACAGAGCCAAAAGAAGAAGATAAATTTAATGAGATGACAATTTCCAGAGCTTAAGACACAAACACAGAATTTTCTTTAAAGGACAGGTGTGGTCTCATCCCAGATGAGTCCTGCTGCTGCACAACTGGTCCTGATTCTGGCCTGGATTCCCCACAGCTACAGCTGCTGTTCCCGCTATTCAGTGATAGTACATCCATCACTCTGGAATAGTGAGGCCCTGGCACAGGTTCCCCAGAGCAGCTGTGGCTGCTCCTGGATCCCTGGAAGTGCCCAAGGCCAGGCTGGACACTGAGGCAACCTGGGAGAGGGGAAGGTGTCCCTGCCCATGGCAGGGGTGGGATGGACTTCAAGATCCCTCCCAACCAAACTATTCTGTGATTCTCTCATTTTCTCCAGTGGAAAAAACATTACTGTGTGGACAATATTAAGATTACAGCACTGAAAATGATAATGCAGCCAACAGCCACTTGTTGTTTTTTTAGTTGCATTGACAGATTTATCCCTGTGCTTTGCCAATTCACTGCAGTGGAAGACAGGGAATTTCAGGGTGAACAAGCCAATTCAGAGGCAGTGGAAGCCCTCAGACATGCAGGCAACTTAGCAAATATAAAACTGACATCTAGAAACAGACACAGAAATAAAAAAGCCAAATTCAGACCCACTGCTGTGGATTCAAGGCCTCTCCTCCAAACTGTGCCCAGACACTGCTGCTGAGCTTCCTCCACAGGATGCAAACCTCTCTCTGCAGGAGAAACTGCCTTAAACTCCACCTCTGAAAGAGAAACTTCTTCCATTCTTAAAGAGAATAACTCACATCAAGTGATGTTTAAAAGAAGGAATTTTAGGCAGGGGTTTTTTTTGTTGGTTTTTTTTTTTTTTAATCCTTATTTGTGCAAAACTATACAAATCCAGGTTCCATCGCATCTGTCTTAAATATGACTCCAGTGGAGAGCCGTATTTCCCAGAAAATAAAGATGGGAAGACATTCTATATTGCAGGAGAGATGTGCCAAAAGTGTGTCACATAGCTATTAAATTGAAAAATGGAACTTGCAGTGAAATCTGAGGATGTTTTCAAAAGCTAAAAGCCACATTTTCTCTTGCTTCACTTGTGCAGGCACAACTTGCTTAAAATATTTCAATAGGTATTTATTTTTTTCGAGATGCTCTCTGCCCATTGTCCATGTGAGATCTGTTATTTTCTGCCAGTGTAGCACTTCTGGAAAAGCTACTTCAGCAACTTTCTCAGAAATGAGGAGTTTGTATAAACCAAGTTTTGTAAAGAAGAGCTAGCAAGTGCAACTTACAGGCCAGATGCTGGTCTGTCTGCAATGTTAAGTATAAAAAATAAAGAAATAATGTATTCCAAGCACATGATTTTTCTTGAAACAGCCAGAAATCAGGGAAACAGAGCACACAGCAGTTTGGGGTTTTTTCCCCCTTAAATCAAAAATTTGATTTTAGAAGGACATGTACAAATCTAATTTACCCAATGGCTTTCCCAGACCCTCAAACTAGCAAAATACCCAAAAAAAAAGTTAAAAAAAAATCTCAAGAGAGA